TTTTTTTTAAAGATATATTTATTTTAGAGAGCAGGCGCAAGCCAGCAAGCGAGTGTGCGCACATGCTCATGGGATGGGACAGTAGGGAGATCAGAGAGAGAATTCCAAGTAGACTCCCCGCTGACCACAGAGCCCCACGTGGGGCCAGTCCCCTGATCCTGAAATCATGTCCTGAGCCAAAATCAAGAGTTGGACACTCACTGACTGAGCCACGTAGGTGCCCCAAATCATGAGATACTTGATAGTAATTGATGCTATTTAATGTGGCATCTTAACCATATTTATACCATAAAAACTGAACCATTCCAACCATAGTGAAGTGTGTGTGTTTGTTTGTTTATTTATTTATTTAAATAAAGGATGAGATTCTGGCCTCCAAATTCATGCCTATCAAAACAAGAAAGACTTAGAATAGTATTAAAGAATAAGTTTTCTTAAAAAATTTTTTTCAGGCTTTGAGCATTGGTTATTTGTGTATTCTAGGCTGCTTTTCAATATTTTTATCTGTATTTTATTCTTTGTCATATCACAGACAAATTTTTGGAAGTATTTTCTTGGTCTTTCTGTTTCCTTTTCTTTAATTCACCAAATGGCCAAGTCTGAAAAAGATTGTCAAGTAATAAGTTAACTGAATCAGATTTGTGTTCCCTTATCTTTCTCGTAGGCAATCAATTGTATTATCAATGAAAGCTTTTTTACATTTTATTTTCTAGTTCCAAAATTTTAGTTTTTAAAGATTTATTTATGATAGTAACTGATTCTCATGTATTTCTGTATTTATCAGATGCTTCTAAATAATTTTGTATTTCTACTATCATATGCTATTCATTATCTTTAATAGCATACTTACAGAACATTAACAGTTTTTTAATATTTTCACTTATCGTGAATCCCTAAATATCTTTGAATATTCCAGAAGAGATTTGAAATGACAAAATTACAATTGTTTTAAAATTTCTAAAACTATAATTGAGTGTGTGTTTCATAATTCTTTGCCTTAAAATTTACCTATATACAAAACCAGTCTCTTGAGGAATAGTGGGGAGAAGTTGATTATGATTGATTGATTATATGCAACCAGGGAACCAAAAATAAAGTTAACAAAGCTTTAGGCTGAGAAAGTTGGTTTTCTGTTTGTAGTTAAAGCTATTGTCTTTTTTAAAAGATAGGTCTCATTTAAAAAAAATTCATATTGATTGAAATATTTCTATAAATTCTAATTTTTGACATTTTACAAGGCTTTATTTTCATATTTTTTTTTCAAGTACTCAACTAGTAGGAGTGGAATTTTAGAATGCTAGTGTTAGGATATTGATTTGACGTGTGACTTAAGCTAAAAAAAAAAGTCAAGCTTTTAACCATGTATAGTTTTTGTGATTTGAGAGTGTTTGCCCCTTACATACTCAAATCCTTGTAAATGCAAACAGTATTATGATCAAACTTGAATATTTAAAATTTTAGAAGAAAAAGAATAGGAGTAATATATATCTCAAAGATGCACAGAAAGAAGTTAATATTTATTTCAAATTAGTGATGGCAACCATTTAATGTGGTGCTGTTTATTTTTTATGGATATTAAATTAAAATACTCATAAGTGATATGTTTTAGTAACATTTGAAGAACTGTACTTTGCCACTTTAGATAATGTTTATATTTGAGGCAGTGAGTTTCTGGCTTTAAAAATTTACAAAATATACCTTTTAACTTTATACATTCTTAACCCAAAAAAGGCAGGTTATTTAAGTGTTTTTGAGAAATCCGCTCCAAGTGATTATAATGGCACAAAATCCCATGTCAGTGATTTAATAAATTTTAACAAATGCAAAGTTCTATGAAGGTTTTACTACGTTTTAGACTATGCCTTTAATTTATATTGTGTTGGGTAGATGGTCTTGCTAATGACTTCATATGCTTAGTGTAATTTACGTAGCATTTTAAAATCCATTTTTACTGTTATGTTTTGCTTCATCATTGCTTTCCTTATTCTGCATTTTCTGGTCATCTTCTGAATCTGCATCTTTTCTCTGCTACTTTCCTCCACAGCACCTTACTCACAGGGGCCTAGGATTTACCTGTGTCCCAGCTCCCCCTCTCTCTCTTGTGGTTCCCTTCATCTTAAAAAGTCCTGTCTCCTACTCTCGGAATCTAGCCTTCCCCCTCATCATTCTAGCCCTGTCAGCCCAGTTCTGAGGAAAAGTGTTTCTTTCAGTGAAGAGCTGTTCCTGGCTGCTTCTGGTAGGATCACATTATGTCAGCTTTTTAATCCCTTAATTTTAACTCACCTTTGAAAACAAGTAATTATTTCATACTATTAAAGAAGTATTGGGTGTCTTGCACAGGGCATACTTCTTATTTTTCTTATTGGTGGACAGAATTAAATGATTACAATGATGGTTGAGGATTACTGGTTGGATAATTATGAATATTCTGCTGAAGTCATTTTATTTATTAAAAAAATTATATGTCTGAGGACATAGATCTGCATATTTCCAAGGATTATTGGGTTTTTATTTCTAGAGTTTCTGTTTTAGATGCTTTACTTTCTTTCCCTTCACACCAACTCCATTCACTTCGGACCTGCACCATCATGTTGCTAAGCCATATGGTTACATTAGTAAATTATTCTGTTTGAATTGGTTTAAGTCTCATTTTGGTGGTATTCTTTCTTTATCTATTTTTTTTCTGTCCATTGCATTGATTTTCAAATTATTCTGCTGTATTTTCTGATGTTTTATTTACTTCTACAAAATTACATTTTATTTTATGGCTTTCAATATGCTTCATACAAAGATATTAGTTTCATTTCTATGTTTAGTATTGTATAGTCTCTAAAACCCATATTTAGGTTCCTACAAGAAAAATATGTTCCTTTTTTATTTTTAAAGAAGAGAATGGGACTATACACATGCTAACCTTTGTTTCCTTATCCAAGAACAGCTAAAAATGTGAAAGTAAATTAGTTCCTTTTTAAAGTCATTGCAGTAAATTTGTATGTATCTTCAGTTTCGAAAGGGTGGGATTGAACTGTTAACTCTAGTCTCTAGAACACTGGCTTCTCACCTGTCCCCTACTTTCTTTAATACTTTGATCATAATTGGTCTATTGGTACTATCAAAAGAATAAAATAAAGTAGGGAAAGAAATTAAAACTTAAGCCTTTAAAAAATACATCTTAGAGCTTGGGAATATAATTCTTCCGATCCATAACTATGTACATTTGTGATGTGTCTATTACATGTCTGTGATTTTTAGTTTTTAAAAATATTTTATGTTGATTTTTGCAAATGAGTATTGAAAACTATGAATGTTAATAGTGTTTTGTCATGAATGTTATATTTAGGAATGGAAAGTTACCAGAAAATAGATTGGACTATATTTCAAAATTGCCTAAAATTCATACTCTTTAGAGAATTTTGGAATATTTTAAGTAAGCACAATTAAACGTGCTTCTCTCTATAGTTACTTTTAAACAAACATTTGATGTTTCTAGATTTCTTTTAGTAAGTATTATTAAATTGTGAGCATAGTAAGTACAGTTGATCCTTGAGCAACACACCCCTGCGCAAATTGAAAATGGGCATATAACTTCTGATTCCCCAAAAGCTTGACTATTAATAGTCTACTCTTGACCACAAGCCTTACTGATAACAGTCAATTAAAACAGTTATATTACATGTATTATATACTGTATTCTTGCAATTATATACTGAGGGAAGAAAATGTTAGAAGAAAATCATAAGGAAGAGATAGTGCATTTATAGTACTGTCCTGTACTTACTGAAAAAAAAATTAATGTATAAGTGGACTGTGCAGTTGAAACCCATGTTGTTCAAGGGTCAATTGTAATTGGTAGTATCTTGATTATTTTGTATTAGAAGACCACTCAACACTTCAAAAATTGAATATTATACAAAAATTCATACATTAACAAAATTTTAAAAATAAGTTTTAGAACAGATTGAATCTGAAACTCACTGTGATCACAGTTTTAGCATCTAAAAACCTTGTGAATAAAATAGTAAAATATATGCCTAATTGCATGTCAAGTACTTTAAATGTTTATATCATTTTAAGAGATTTTGACTCATGATATTTATGAAGATGAATGCAGTTAACTTTCTGTTTCTATAGTTGTTTTTTGGTTATTTATGTACTGATGTTCTGTAGGAATGGGAAGTGGTAGTGCTGGAAAAGAAGGGGGGCCGTTTAAAGCTCTTTTAAGACAACAGACTCAGTCAGCACTGGAACAAAGGGTAAGAGACACTCAATATTCTCTATTCTTACACTGTTAATATGATTTTATTATCATGCTTCTACATATTTATAACTTATTTCCATAAACTGGTTTGATCATGTATATGTAACATAATTTCAGAGTCCCAAAATTTATTTAAGGTATTAAAGAAATTTGTTTATGAATAATTAATTTTAATTTGGAATTCTGTAACTTTTTTTTTTTTTTGTCCTCTAATCTTTTATTAGAAATAATCTATTTGGAAATATCCATTGAGTGATGAAATCATTTCTCATTTTACCTTAAAATTATAATATACAAAAGGAAATAGTGGACATTTTTCAGAAAAAAATATTTCAGTTGTGCTATATTAAATATCTTTCTTGGGGTGTGTGGGTGGCACAGTTGGTTAAGCATCAGACTCTTGATTTCAGCTCAGGTTTTAATCTTAGGGTTGTGAGATTGAGCCTGTGTTGGGCTCCATGGTGGGCATGGAGACTACATTAAAAAAAAAAAAAAAAAAGATAATTCTTCAGTATATTAATATATTTATATGCTGAGATTATTTTTATGGTTGGCCAATCTCAGGGGTAAGAAATGCACAGATTCAGTATTTCTACAGATTAACATAAACAGTGTGGTTATTTGGTATGTGAATACGTCTCTTTTAATTATTATAAGTTTAATGTTTAGTTAACTTTGTTAATTAGGAAAATAAAGAGTCACAATTTTTGGATGATTTTTCTCTTTTTTTTTTTGTATAAACTTCATTGCTAAGGGAGGATCGCCTCATAGGTTCTGTAGAAGGCGGGTATGTTTCTGAACATGTGTGAGAGCCTTTTTCTTGTATTGGTAGCTGTTCTAGTTTTAATCTTGATCATTTAAGTTTTATTTAAGCTTTAACAAATGTTGCCAGCTTTATTTCTTTTCGTAATGCATTTTTTAAAAATTTATTAGTACTATGAGGCTCATTTTTTTTCTACTCAACTAACACAGTGCATGATTATTTATATGTTCTGTCAGTTATTTTAAGGCACAGTCCCATAGCTTTCATTGTGTCTGATTTGGAAGTTTATAAGCATTTACAGAATTTTCTTTTACATGTTCCCATTTTACACTAGCATTAAAAAAAAAGATCAGACAGTAAATACCTTTAAAAGAATACATTTTTTTAAAAAAGATATTTCATCTCTAGAGGTTAGCTTTTTGAGAATAGGGTTTTCAGGTTCTGTTACTACAAACAATATAACAGTTTCCTTTTTTAGACTTTCTTTACTGTGCAGAAGTACCTGTATGTACCCTTTGCCTTGCAGACAAGGTTGGGGGGAGCAGAGCAGAGCTGAGCTAATCAATCAGCGTGATGAGACATTAGAGGTACAAGGTGGTTTGCTTTACCCCTCAGCAGGCAGCATTTGCACTTGAGCTGCTTTCACAACTTGCAGGCATACCAGCTACTGTTGTGCAAAAGCCCACTTAAACACTGGGACCATTTATTGAAACCAAATATAAAAAGAGACTGGAAACACAGAGAAGAGGGTCAGAGGGAAGGTATGTGTGACTATTTCTTAGGCCAGAATGCTCTTACCTCCTCCCCACTCCCAGTTTTACATTCTCTACAGAGTTCCTTACACTAGGATTATTCCTTGTAATTGTTCTAGAATTCATAGGAACAGAAAAACTGGTATGAGAGATGAGATTTTGCCTGTATCTTGTGCCTGTGACTTTATTATCGATATTAAGAGCTTTTGTAAACATCTAGCTTTAAGAGAAGAAAAATACTAATCAATAAAAATTGTTTTAAATTTAGTTTGGATAAAATTTATGTTTTCAAATATGCTTTTAAACATTCTTCAAGTTTTGGACACATTATTACATTGGGTATACATTTCTAAATAATCTTTATGGACTTAACAGTAAAGATGTGGGAGAACTATAGTTTTCATTTACAACCTTATAAAATCCGAGTTGGTAATATGTTTATGTTACCTAACTCTGCAGTAGTTACTTGAGTTTATGAGACTACCTCACTATCCTGGGTACACAATAAATAGAATAAGCTTCGTCTTTAGCTTTCCCATTCACCTGTGGTGGCCATTAGTATATCTTTGTTTTGGGAAAAAATTTGTACAGAAGTATGAAGAGTTTTTCCCATATGTGTTCAGATATGCCTTAACTCTGTCAAGTTGAATACTAGATCAAGGTGAACATATACTTAATATCATTTTTATATTCATTTTAAAAATATTAATTTCTATTCCTTGCCGTCCTTCATAAATTGTATGGCTTCCCCACCGCCCTTAGGAAAAGAGAACCTTTGTCCAGCATGTTTTAACCCGCTGAGCCACCCAGGCGCCCCTGTCCAGCATGTTTTATTTAAAGGGTTCAAGTAACAGTTTTCAAAAATAAAAGTGTTACAAAATCAGTGAAAAATAAGTTGACAGGATCTTGGTAATACGTGTCAAGTGATTAGGAGATAAGATGTAGAGATACAAATTTGATTACATTTAGGGTCTACCTATGAATGATTTGATGTAAAGCAAATAGGTTTACTTTTCAATATGACTCTTCTTTCACTTATAAGAAAAATGAAGTTACTTTTCAGATGCTGGGAGATATATTTTTCTTCAGTAAAGAAACCTAGTTGACTTGGTTTAACTTAGTATTTCCCAAATATATTTTACAATAGAATCTGCCATGTGAAATACCTGTTAGTGAGGACCACACTTTGGGAAACATTGATATAAAGCAAACTCTTTTAATAATTGTGATGTTTTCAATAATGGGGTAAAATTATATAATAAAATCACAGTAGGAATCTGGCATGGAGTTTTTTTTATCTAGAAAGTTGACTCTCATTTCTTGGGAAAATAAAAAGAATACTTGGTTGAAAAATAAACTATTTAAATATATTCTAAGAAAAATTCTATTTAAATGTTAAAAAATTACTTCCATTGTGTCCCCAGATTTTCCAACTAGCCTGTCTCTGAACACATGGTATTAAATAGATTTATGCTGTATGCATTTGGCTTATTGTCAAAATGTCAACATACAAATTTCCACCTAGTTGTACCACAAGGCAAGGTACTTTATTTTTTTTTTTAACTTTTTTATTTTTAAGATTTTATTTATTTATTTGACAAAGAGGTCACAAGTAGGCAGAGAGACAGGCAGAGAAAGAGGGGGAAGCAGGCTCCCTGCTGAGCAGGGAGCCCTGTGCAGGCCTCGATCCCAGGACCCTGAGATCATGACCTGAGAAGGCAAGGCACTATAAATATTAGGACTTTACAGAGAAAATGTCTTCTGTGGTCCTGAAATTCTCATCTAGGCATTGAAAACGGGTTGGGCTTGGCTGATCTTAAGGAAGCTGTTCTTTTCAGTGGAAAAGAACCTACAAATTCATCAGGTATAATGATAAACTAGAGATTAAAACCAACACCTTGTCTCACTGTTTTAATCAGAAATTTCAAGAAGCCAGATGATAAGGCTTGTTGCTCACATAGAGTTGAGGCCTCCTTGACTCTCACGTTAGCATACGGGAAAGATTATAAAGTATAGTTTTAAGATACTTTGCCGAGGTCTGGCACTCTGTAAGTACTTCACAGTTGTCACTATGTAGTGGGGGTGGAGATGAGCGCTATTTAACAGTCACTGGTAGTCACTGGCCACTGGTGAGAGGGGTGGAGGTGATAGGTATTTAACAGTAGGTATCTGCAGTAGTTTTTCTGAGAGAGTTATCTGAAGATGTAGTTTTGGTTGAATAACCATGCCATTTTTATGTACTTCAAGTTAAATTTTGTATGTTAAATTAGGTGTGTTGATTGGACATGTAGGACAGAGTTTAAGTTTGCAGAGTGATCGTCTGCCTCTTTGGGCAGCCATTCCCCTACTTTTTCTGCTTATGATCACCAACTCTACTATGATGCTTTCCCTCTTGTCTCTTTTTATCCCATCTTCTGGAATTTAGGAAAAAGAATCAGAATCTCAAGTAGAGAAATCATTTAGGTTAATTTTTATACCCACCTAAATTCTTATATTCAGATGTTTTCCAATATGTGAATTTACTCACTTTCAGAAGAAAGTACAGCTTTCCATTTAGCTGTTTTATTTTCAGTGTCTCTTGTCCAGAATATTTAAAATGTTTAAGTATAAAGATTAAATGTAAAGTGCTTTTTTCTACTATACTTCAGTATTTTGAGAAAATTTAAAAACTGTCTACTTAAAATTGAAAAAAATCATGAAGGCCTAACTTAGGTAAGATATTTAAGTTTCTAATAGCATAAACTTGGATGTGAGGGCGATCTGGCTGCGACATCTGTCACCCCACTGATCACCAGGGTTGATTCGGCTGATCTGGCTGGCTAGGTGGGTATCCCCTTCCTCCCTCACCGCTCCATATGCATCCCTCCCGAAGCTGAGTGCTCGGTCGAAGAGGACGATCTTCCCCAATAGAGAGACAACCGTTCTTCGGTCAAGGGTATACGAGTAGCTGCGCTACCCTGCTAGAACCTCCAAACAAGCTCTAATAGCATAAACTTATTTGTCTATTTCTCATTTAAAACTTATATTTAAAAAAACAGGTAGAAATAAGGAGGCATTTTTGACTAAATATTTTATAATACATGTAAGTGAAATTCCCTTCCTATCCTCCCCTTTTTTCTTTTTGCCTGTCAGCTGGGCCAAACCTATCCATTTCCATAGATAGGTTTTTACTTTTTTTTTTTTTTTTTTTAAATGTAGCCTAGGTTTTTCTTTCCCTTGTTAATTTAAATATTACTTTTAAATTCTAACTGAATTTATTTCTAAATTTTCTCTATATTTTATACTTTGTCTTCATGGGTTATTGAAGTGTGCAGGACTGTTTGCCTTTGTGCTAAATGACTCCAAGTTGCTATGCTTTGTGAATTATGCTTTGGTGAGTTTGTATTCTCCATGCTTAGTAGCCAGTCAGTAATCTTGCTGCTTTTAATGTGCCTGCTTCTAGTAGTATTCTGTATGTCTTTATCTCTCAGCTTTCATTTGCTGCATTTCAATTGCTGTGGTCAGAAAAAAAGATATTGCTAGACTTTAAAATATGTTCCTAAAAATATGTATTTGTAATTGCTGAATGGCATAGTATGGATATGATCTGTAGGGATTTCTTATGAATCAAGTACATAAATTTTAGTACTTGGAAGTATGACAGTTCTTTTGACTGTTGAGAGCTCTGTTTTGCTTATTTTCCAGCTCTCAGTTATGTTCTGAATAGCTGAGGCTACTGGTAAGTGACTTCTGGTTAAGTGAGCTATGGTAATCTTAAAGCCATATGAGGCAGATATTAAATTTTCCTTGCTTGCATCCAATTTTGTGTAATGTGGGAGGCCTCTATACTTGGAGAGCCACAGGAGCTCTGCTTTCTTCCTGGGTGCTATCTCAATGAATTTCCTTTCTCTGTTTTCCCATTTCTGCCTTACCTCTAAATTGATGAGATTGATGTCCTTGAGAGAGAAGGGGAGAATGAAACTTAGAAGAACTTGGGGAATTTTATTTCCTCCCTTGGTGTCATCTACTTTCTTCTCCCTTTTCCTTAATATGCATCTATGTACTTCCAATTTTTTCCAGCTGCCCTGGTGTTGATAGAGTAAATTATCTTACACAGCAATTCTGTACCCTCTTGACCTTGGTATTTGCCCTTCGCTTTTCCCTGAATCTCTTAACCCACACTGCTCATTCTCTCACTCCTCCCTTAGTTCCACGTTCTTGTAGATCTCTTGCACCAGGCCTTCAGAGTCTTTACCAGTAGCCTGGAATTGGGTGTGTTTATGTGAGGAGGATTCTGCCCCGCTGAGTAGACTCAGCGTCTAAGGGCAGGGGAATCCCCACATCTCACTGTGAATTTGCATCAGAGTAGGATATTGAAAGGAAGGAAGAGTGTGTTCAAATATCTTAAATCAAAACTCTGAGAACCTTTTTTTCTCATTGAGAATTGATAAAAAGACTGTTTGGATTCTGTATAACATGATATATATGGGAAAATGGATTAGGAACTCTAAACATCTAAGAAGACATTTAATTACAAAGCATGTGTAATGTGTAACTGGTAGCCTTTTGTTAAGAGATAGGATTCATATCATAGTATGAATATAATCTATGGGGATCAGCCTTCTTAACAAGCAAATTTTTTGTACTTTACACATGGTCAGTTATATTTTTCCCCCTTTCTTTCTACTAGGAATTTCCATTTTTTACCTTGACGGCATTTCCTCCTGGATTTCTCATGCATGTTGGGGGTGTTGTTAGTGCACGCTCTGTGAAGCTTTTGGATCGTATCCACAATCCTGGTATGTTCTTTAAAAGTTTGTTTTCAGCGTTTCATTTACTTAAACTGGGATTATTAAAATTGATTTTTATAATTAAAAAAATCAAGTCTATCCAAAAAGAAAAATGAAAAAGAAAGTATAAACTGGCATGTTGCTTTAAGTATTTGCTATAATTCTGATTAAAAATAATCAAATAAATAGAAGTATATTTTAGTTAGCTTTCTTATGTAAAACAAATATTGATTCATTTTCCTGGCCAGGCATCACTTTGAAGGAGTTCCTAGGTAACTTTTCAGTCAGCTTTTTTCTTTGACCCAGGCAGACAACAAATTTTGTAATTTGACCATTATGGCCATTATCTTAAGATGTTAATTCTTTTCATTAGCAATAACTCTTCATAGATTATTTTAGTAATTTCCTTATTCCTAAAAGAAGTATTCCTTTGAAATGTAATTATAAACATTGTGTAGTATCTAAGAATTAAAAAAAATAGTGCTGTCTGTGCATTCCTGGTTTCTTTTCTAAAACTATTTGTTCTACATAAGCAAACAAGTAAAAATAGTAGCTTACTCCTTTAAAACATGGGGCCATGATCATAAAAGAAGAAAGGCATCAAATCAATCTCAATTTCAGGCCCTTGGATTAGGAATGCTTTGATGGTTTTTCTAAATCCAAAATAAGCATGATAAGTGTGGTAGAAACTTTCTGTGTGGAGTGTGTTCTTGCATCTCTCATTGACTGGATTTCCAGTAATTTGCTCAAGTCACTTATTATTTTGATGACATACTTAAAAAGCCAAAGTTATGTGTTCTTATTTGGCATATATACATACATATTTTTGAAAATTTTAAATTGTCACTTCCAATAACCTCTTCCTGAGGCTTGTACTGACAGCTACAAAAAGAGTAAAATACTTCGAAATTATTTTATGAAAAACACTGCAGATAGTGATTTTGAGGATACAGAGCATTACCATTCTTTTAAGTTAAAAAAAAATTTAATCTGTGCCTTGCGGTTTGATGTCTTTTCAGTTAATAATTCCAGAGGAGCAGAATGGAATTTTTCCCAGAGCTTGAACGAGATTTCAGAAGAGGAATAGTAGCTAGGATTATTTAACTCTTAAAGCTGAACAAATACATCTTTTAAGCCTTAGTCTTCTCTTTTTTTCTTCTCTGGTTTATTTTTTTTTCTGCTCTTCTTTATTTTTTCAAATCAATTTAAGATCTTTTCTTCATGTAGTATTTGTGAATTCTGTAGTAATTAAAGGCACATTTAGACTGATGCCAGTTTAATGTATTGAGACATTGGAGACTCTGCAAGTTCCGTATCTTTGTGTTTAGGAACTTAAATTATTTGGAAAGCGCAAGGAAATACTGAGTTGATATACCTGACATTAATTTGGGTGTGACCCAAGGCTTGTTACCTGCGTTTCTTTGGACCATTGACTCAAATATTTTGCTAGATGGTGCCCACTGATAAGCTCCAAAATGATTTCAGGAATATATTTAACTGTTCTGTTTACTGAAAACATTTTGATTTTATTGTTGCTTCCAGGTACTCTGAGTAAGCTATAGAGTCTGGGAGAACAAATAAGTCTTACTTAAATAAGTTTAAGTAGAGAGCTGTATTTAAAATCCTATTACTTTTTACAAAAAACTCTTTTTTAGGGTTTACATGCTTGCCAGTTTGTTCTAGCAGTGTGAGAAATACAAGAACCCAGGCCGAGGGAAGAACACAGGAATCATTAATACAGAATACATTTTGTGTATTATAATTATCAAGTTATCCATTCTCTTCCTTTCCTCCCCTTATCAGAATATTTTTTTTTTGATTCACATGTAGGGAATCCTAGTTACTAATGTACTTATTTCCTAAAGGATTATGGGCATATAAATATAAATGCTTTTAATGATATACAAGTTATATTTTAATTTTGTTTTATTTTCAGTTAATTTTAATCAATTTAATCAACTACATATTCTAATGGTTTCACTATTACATGATTTTGATATAAAAACCACATTTTGGGGGGTGGTTTTATATATGTATTATGCATTAAAAAAGGAAGATTTTCTTAAGAACATTTTATTGATGTTCTTAATATTTCATAAATAATTATTAAAAGATTTAATTTGTTGAAAGAAGCTGAATGTTAAAACCAAAAAACCCCTCTAGATTAGCATCTACCATGATAATGATATATTGATTTTATGACACTGAGTTACTCTGCCGAGAGAAACTTAAGATGGATTGAGATGCCTGTGCTGTTAAAATGCTGTATTTGCACTCTCAAACGAATCTTGCAGCTATTTTTTTTCTAGTGAATATGGGAACTTTTCATTTTACACTTGAGTGTAGAAGGAATAAAATCTTATTTTTAAACCACTACCGCCTGCTACCTATAGATTATTATTCTGGAGTTAGTTCTTTTAGAATTTCCTCCTTTGTTAAATATTAAGCAACACGGACAAGAATGGGGTGGTTTTAAAAATCAAGGTCATTATCTTAAACAACTAGACTTTAGTTAATGTTAGATTATGATAGCATGCTCCTTCTTCTCTTTCTATTTCTACTTCTTATTAACTCTGCTGTCTGTGTCTTTCCAGTTGCTGTCAAGTGGTATTGTCAATTGTGTTCTTGTTTGTAGTGTTTTTTTGTTTTTTTTTCCCTACTATTCTGCACCTAAAACTGATCTACTAATTTGCTGTTTTGAACTCAGCCTTTGTCGGAATTATGGGTAACACAAGATCTTACAAACTGCTAGACTGGAATAGTTTCAATTCAGGTATTTTGATGGTCATTCAGTACTACATATGCTGACAAAAATTATGGCAGCTCAGTGAAGTTTTTAGAAATGTTCTAGATTAAATAGGTTTAATGGCAATTCAGTTATACAGATACATTCTGCAGTACATACGTTGTAACTCTTAAAGTTTCCACAGAATTGCAAATATAAAAATGTGTTAACTAAAATGAATTAACCAAAACCATAGAAATACCATAAATTACAAATGGCTTTTGTCAGTTAATTAACTTTCAGAAACCTAAATTTAAATTATATTTATTACATTTTGGACAGTTTTTTCATATCAGTAATTGACATAGGCTTTACAATTAAAGAGATGTTAATTGTTAAATATAAGTATTAAATGGCTAGTTTGATAAGCTTAAAGTCTGCTTAAACATTAATTTAGACTTGAGTATAATATATTTAGTATTCTATAAATACTATAAATATGTGACTATTACCATTTTTATTTATAATTCCAGAAGTTTTTCAAAAATTTGGTAAGTAAGAGCAGATTTTGGGGGGATTAACAGCTTTCATAAGCTCCCTTCCTTCCCATTTCATGTGAGAATTTAATTTTTCTTTTTAGGTAATTTTACGTATGGATATAGTTTGTAAAATATAGTTTGTAGCTTTTAGAGAAACTAAACTAACTTTACAGCTGATGATGTGGTTTCGAGTCAAAGCCAATTTTTCTTTTTGATAAAAGCATATTCTTCTAATATAAATATGTAAATTTTTATGTTCTTTATTTTTTAAATTAAATAATAGACCATTTTGATTTGGTATTAGAAGCTGGTATTTTGCCTGAAGGGTTTTACCAGTTCTTTGTGTCAGAAAGTATATATCTATTTATAGAAAAACAAATCACCAAGAGGCTTAACATTTTAGATAATATTTCATAATCTTTTCAATATTGTAAGCTTTTTTTTGTTCTTAGGGGTCCAGGATGTAAGTTCTGATGTAAGTAATGCATGTTTGACTATGAAGTATCTCATGTTCATCATGCAGGTTTACCTAAGTTCAGTCTAGTAAACAATCTGATCAGGTCCAACCTTTACAGATTTAGACTGACATCAGTTGGTAAGTCTCAGAGAAATTACCTCTCCTACTCAGGTTTTTGTCAACATGTTACCACATTGATTAAAATTAAAATAATCGTTTTTAAATGTTATGTGTTATACTTGGTTTTTAGTGAGGAAAATACCCTGCTGGATTCATTTAATAAAAATAATGTATTTTTAAAATGTAGGCAGATTAGTGTATAAGAAGTAAAAAAGCCTAATTATGTAAGAAAAGGACATTGGGAATAGACTGATCATTAATAATTTAAGGAGCTTAAACCTTGTCAGGGCAAAGATGTTTAGGGTGAGATGAGTGTTAGATAACGAACAGTCTTGGAAAGTAGAAAAGTAGTTAAATCTTATAATACTTTGTCCCCCATAAGCAGAACTACAGAATTTGGCAAGGAGAAACATGGTTGAGGAAGCGGTATATCTTGCCATCATTTAAAATAAAGTCAGATAGTGAGTGTATGAAAAAAAATGGATATAAATTACAGAATAGTAAAAGAATATCAAAGATGACACTTTCAGTTTAATGTTCTAATAGCTCTGTGCTTTTGACTGAGATATTAGAATCTCCTAACAGTATATATCAGGCTGATTTTGATATTAGGTTAAGAAAAATAATGTGATGATTCTGAAATACAAAAATGTAATATTTGATAAATATATTTGAATCATTTATGTGTTCTTTTCTGTGATTGGGGAATAAATTGCTGTCTTGTATTACCATAGAAAATAAAGAATTGGCCACATCAGTAAGAAAAATAATTGTGGTTATAATTTTTATTAATGTTAGAAATTGTTCATCAATACTGTACTTCCTGGATTCTGACACCATTTATTATGTGAGGTATCACCATTTTAATAATAGCTTTCCAAGAGAAAAGAGAAAGAAACTACTATATTAAGTATATTGATTAATTACCAGACATTTTTATTTCAGAAACATTAAAAATGTGGAAAGATATAAGAAACATTTTTATCACACAGTGGTATTTCATGAAATATGATCTGTCACGCAAGCATTTATTAGAACTTATTTTGTACCATACAGTTTGCTAGATGATAGGTGTGCGAAGATGTCAGTCACCCCGTTTTCGTGAAAGTCATATTCTGGGCAGTTAGAAAAATATGTTAATGGTTTACTGTGTGGTGTGGTGTGGTGT